GCTGTGCATTCATGTTTCTACCTATATGAGAGATGGGGTTTCTGACAGCCCAGGGCTTTCTGGTTCAGTGGCCTAAATGTATGAACCAAGCCCTCTTTTCCTCAACTCATTCAATGATGCAAAATCAGGCCTTGGCAGGTTTCCCTTATGTGATGGGCAGCAAGGAACCAAAATCAACCATCAGATAACACCTGGGAGCCTGGTCCATCCCAGGCGCTCACAGTCCACCTCGGTTGTGATATCCCAAACAGCCAAGGGAGGTTAATTCATCATTAAGGGGACACCAGGCTCCAGGAAAGCCATGCTGAGCTGGACTTGGTAGTTACTCTAAGAAAACAGCTTCAGCTCATCCGGAGCCCCTGGGGTCCTCTGCTGCTGGCCTCACTCCCTGGGGTCATATTTCACCTAATGGCGGGCAGGGCGCGTTTCCTGGGCAGTAGCTCTTCCTGCAGCCTGAGAGATGAGGAGGTGTGGCCATACCTGTCCTTGTTAAGTTGACGGAGCAGGTGAGATGTGAGGTTCATTTCTATGCTCCAACAGCTGGAAGGACCCCCCCCCCCCTTTGGTTACACTGCCCCTCTCAGAGGAAAGTGACTTGCTGAAAGTCACGCTGCTACTCGCACAGGACGAAAACCAGGAAGGAAGGGGCAGGGGTGCAGCTCTGTGGAACACAGAGGCTAGAGTCACAGGGAAGAGCCTGGGGACCAGCACCCTGAAATCAGATCACGGGGGCCGAGGACCGCCTTCCTCCTCCCGCTGGCTGACCCACCTGCAGATGTCTCCCTCCAGAAGCCCAGTAGATCCTCACTCCCTGTTTCTTCCTCTTTGCCATCAAACAGTCCATGACATTAAGAGTCTTGGTGGGTAACCCTTTCTGGGGCCACATTTTCAAAGCATTCAGTTTTGTCCATGTCCGTGCACATAGGCAGTGGGTGGTTTAAAGAAAATGAGAAGCTGTTTTGTGTGGCACTTGCATCTGAGGCCTTGTGTGGCCCCTTCTTGGTCTGCCTTGGGGAGTTCCAGACTGTGCGTGGACCTTTTGAACTGACAGCTTCAAATCCATCGCCTGCCCTCAGGCCTGCTGGGGTGGGGAGCACCTGAGGAGTGACCCCACGGGCAGCAGCAGGCCTGCTGGGGCAGGGAGGAAGCACGGAGTGGGTGCATGTCGAAGGGGGAGCATAAGTAGCCCCTCTGAAGATCTGTTTCTGTTACGGAAGGCAATTTCGTTTCCCGCTCCCTAGGGACTCTCTTTTGGAGAAACTAGGCCGTGCAAATGAAAAGGTGTAATTAGATGACCCACTGCATTTGATAACCTGTACTTGGAGGTCACTAAGATTGGCTGGTTGTGAACAAACACGTTTGCTGTGGGCCGTGGACCCTACCACGTGGGTTATCCCAGTGGTGTGTCCCTGGCAGGGAGCGGTTAGGTGGTCAGTTCCTGGCATCCTCAGAGAAACTGGTCACTATGAAATCACCCATTATTTTAGGCTGGAGTAGGGGGTTCAGGGGGGCTTTGGAGGAAACAACCAGGTGCAGGATCCTGGGGTTAAGTTCAACAGGGTGGTCAGAGCAGGGGTTCCCCCAATTTTCAGTCCTCAGTCCATTTCACTTTCTTTGGCCCCCACAATGGGCTTTCTGCTTGTTGCCAAATATCCTTGTCAGTTGTAAGACAGAATTCTAGAGTTAGCCTTGGTCTCTTTCTACAGAAACTCATGCCTTGTACCCCATTTGCTGCCAATGAACTCCATCGGGGTGGCGATACTGGCTCCCCAGAAATTTTCCATCTTAATCCTTTAGCTTTTGAGAACCCAGAAAGATTTGGCAAGGAGCTGAGGCGAACCCGTGAAGACGCCAACCAAGCAGCCGTCCCAAAAAAGCAGTCCTGAAAAGGAGGGAACTGCAATTTTGTCTCTTCTTCTAAATGCTGTTTTACAACGTATCACAAAAGTGCATTTGATTTCTTTATTCCTGTTTAAGGTGTTAACAGGTAGACCTGTTGACTTTTCTCATAAAAATAAAGACAGATAGAAAAAGCAGCAAAGGGAGGAAATTCTGCCAGACTTCTCAGGACAGGCCTGTAACAGCCCCTTTGATGCTTGCGGGAGAGGGGGGAGCATGAAAGCTCATTTTCTTTTGCCTTCGAGAAGGGAGCCTATTGGCATTTGCAGACTCAGGGAGACGGAAAGGTGGAGGATTGTGATTGTCCCTGACCAAGGCGACCTGGAGCAGGTGGGCCCCTTTTCCTTCGTAGCATCCTGTGTGATGACCTGGACACGAGGTCTCTGTAGCATCTCGGACACCCACCTCGAGCCCTAGGACTGTCGTGTGGTCTCTGCCCCCCAGGCAGCGCGGTGTCCGGCCTTTCTGTCTGCCACTGAAATTGCCTGCCTCTACCCCAGGCTCCCAGAGGGCAGTGTGGAGTCAAGGATTAAGCACTCTGAATTTCAGGGCTGTGAATATCCGAGTAGTTCTCCCGCTCCTGGGTGAATTATTTAGCCACTCCAGCTGTTCCCTTGTCTGTAAGAGGGGATGACAGAATTTGCCTCGTCGGTATGGGTCATGCTTTTCCTGTAGGGTCTGGCACTCTGAGTGTCCTGGAGGCTGGAGGTGGCTGCCCGGACGCGGGTGGAGTTGGTGGAAGCTTCGCCTCTCATTTCTTCCTGCTTCACCCCTGCACTGGGGACACTTCAGCCAAGGCTTAGACCCCTCACGGTGACAATCAAGGCTCAGCTCAGCATCGCCACTTCCCGTTTCTTCCCTGCCCCTCTTTCCCACTCAAAAACTAGACACCATGATCCTCAGTCCGTGAAGGCTTTGAAAAGCCTCATGGGAAAAGGCCATACCAGTGCACGGAGATGTTTCCTTGAGAAGCTTTGCAGCAACATCACTGAAAAATAGATGAGCTCCCTTGAATTGCAAATGCTCTTAAAGTTTAAGGCAAAAATGTGGAAATCTGTTGTATTTTCTTCCCCCTCACTCGGGGTGAGGTCGGGGATTCAGTTGCCTCTGTTTAACAGGAAACATCAAACGCAGTCTTTAAGGCCAGAAAAAAATAACTTCTTAGTGGCATCATCCTTCCCAGAGGCTGGAACTTAGCTCGTTTTAATTCCTCTCAATTTTCACTGGCTTTTTTTTTTTCTTTAACATTTCAATAGCTATTTATTAAACCTTCTCTATGTACCTGGCTTTATGCCTAAGGCTGTGGGCTTGGAGATATGATAGTCAAATTCACTCCTGTCCGAGAGATTATAATTGAGTTGAGCAAAGGCAAGATTACAGCACAAAATGGCTAAATTGTATTGTATTTAAGTATATAAGTAAGTGCTCGCATGACCAGAGGGTGGAAAAGAGTCAGAAACCCAGCCAGGATGGCTCAGGGCCCCCTGGGTTTCTTGTCTAGGTGCCTTGGCTTGACTGAATGCAAAAGAACTGACGGTTAAGATGAAGTGGCTACATTTTCTTTGCAAAGTTGCCTTTGCAAAACTACTGTGGTCAGAATCCTAGGACTCTACTTTAAATAAGAGCAGATTTCCAGAAGTCCTCATCTGCTTTGCCTTAGTTTGTTCAGAATGTTCTAGAACAGGGGTCGGCAAACCAGCTCGCAAGCCACATGCAGCTCTTTGGGTACATTCCATCTCAAAAATTTGCCGACCCCTGGAAGAGCCAATCCTGACCCTCACAATTTAAAAATTATTTCAGAGCCATAAAATGTATTTTTACATAATCACCATTATGTGAATAATAGCCTTTAAAAATTTTATAAGTGAAACTATGATAGTTTTATTTTCATTTTCAGTTTTACTTCAGAGCCACATGTACGTACCCAAAGAGTCGCATGTGGCTCGCGAGCTGCAGTTTGCTGACCCCTGGCGGCTCTTCCATCTCAAAAGTTTGCTGACCCCTGTTCTAGAACAATTGACCTTTAGGGATGACATTGCCTTTGCTGGAACACCTCGAAACAGCGTAGCGCAGGAAGCTGGGGATGACGGAAGCCTGCTTGTGGCCCAGGGAGAGGGAAGTGGTCTCCCTGGAGTATCCGCTGGGCCTTAAGAGCACCGAGTTGTGACAAGCTGGGGTTTCTCAAACCTAACTGGATAACTCTCCAAAGAGGAATCTCATTGTATATTTTCTGTGCTTTTGAATACATATGTTGGCTTCTGATTTGAAGGATAAAAAGCCCAAAGAACAAGAAAAAAGAGGGGATTTTCTTCATCGGCCATTTTCCAAGAAGTTGGACAAGAACCTGCCCTCGCACAAACAGCCCTCTGCCTCCCTCATCACGCAGATTCAGAACACCAAGGCCCTGCTGAGGGACCGGAAGGCCCCCAAGTCCGGCTTCCCCGACAAAGGTGGGTCAGCTCGGGTCACTTTCCAGGCCACTCGTGTTGAGCTGCGTGGCTGCTGTGTGCCCCTCACGGGCGGCTGTGTGGGCCCCTGGGACAGACACTATCCCTGTGCCCGCGGGAAAGCGGAGTTAATGCACCTCAATTAATCCGGAAGCATTCAAGGTCCAGACAGCGTGGTGTTGCCCACCTGTGCAGGCAGGATATGTGAGAGCAGAGATGGGGTGCACAGTATTGTGGGAGCAGAGATGGGGTGCATGGTATGTGGATGCAGAGATGGGGTGTACAGTATTGTGGGAGCAGAGATGGGGTGCATGGTATGTGGGTGCAGAGATGGGGTGTACAGTATTGTGGGAGTAGAGATGGGGTGCATGGTATGTGGGTGCAGAGATGGGGTGCACAATATTGTGGGAGTAGAGATGGGGTGCATAGTATTGTGGAAACAGATGAGGATATAAAGTATTGCAGGAGTAGAGATTGGGGTAGAGGAATAGAAATTGGGGTGCAGGAGCAGTAATTGGGGTGTGTTGTACTGTGGAAGCAGATATCAAGGTGCATGGCATTGTGGGAGCAGAATTCAGGGCATAAGGTGTTACAGGAGTAGAAACTGGGGTATAGGAGTAGAGATCAGAGTACATGGCATTATGGACTTGGACAGCTTTCAGGCTGCAGGGGCAGAGAGTGGGGTGTGGGGGCCTTCACCAGGAAAATGGAGCATGAGAGGTCCTGAGGTGGGATCGATAGAGCCTGGGCCCCGGGTTCGAGCGAGGGTGCTCAAACCCCAGCTCTGCGAGTCCTTGTGGTACAAGGTCCTTACCTTCTGAGGATTTTAATTGGTTCGCTTACTTATGAAAGGAATTCTACCTGTCAGAGCTATCAGGGGGATTAAGGGAGATACACATGTGGGCTTCTCCCCCTCTTTCAGAGTCCAGCACATCAGATAACTCATACACATGAGGCTCCCTGCTCTGGGGTGAGCTCTGAGGGGTGCTGAAAGGAAGCACTGCACAGGCTTAACTCACACTGTGAGGGGACAGGGGGCTGGGGAGTGTCCTGGAACAAACTGTGGGGTGGAGGAGAGCTTCTTATTACTGAAGGGGGATGGGGGAGATTGTGAAGTCCAATCTTCAATCCCTTTATTTTACTTTATTTATTTATTTTTATTTATTTATTTTTTTTTTTTAGCTGAGCCATCCTGCCACCTGTTGGCAGCTCAGCAGCAGCTTAGCTCGGGCTGGGAATTGAACCCGCAGCCCTGTTGCTCAGAGCTCGCACTCTTGAGCAAGCTCTTTAACCAACTGAGCCACTCAGCCGGCTCAATCCCTTTATTTTAAATATGAGGAGGCTGAGGGTCAGAAAGGGCCTTGGCTCTCCGAGACCGACCAGTGCTTCCCTGAGGAACAGGAAAGTATCAGGAAGATTCATACCTGATTCTTACCCAGAGAAGAACAATTCCATTGGATTCAGTTTCATTCTCTAGGTTTCAGAAAGGCAGGGACCCTGGAGGAGCCCTGCTGATCCCCCCTTAGTGGGTTCTCCTTTCTGGCTTTGTAACCAGCAGTACATTTGGGTTCCCAGCCGTGGTGTCTTATGGGTCTCCCCAAGGAAGTCTAGGTGTATTTTGGGGTAACTTTGACACCCCAGAGCTGGAGTCTATTCTGTGGTACTTTCCTGGGCCAACTGTCGTTTGCTTCTTTGCGTTTTTCCTTTATCCTGGGATGTGAGAGCGTGCACGCTCCGGCGCCCTGGGGCCCATGTGATGGCTAGCACTGAGCACTCGCTGCGTGGCAGGCACGGTTGCAAGCTCTTGACTCAACCCAGTGAGATTATTCTCACCCTCATTTCTAGAGACAAGGAAATGGGCACAGAGACATGTTCAGAGAGATGGTACTGGCAGAGCCCAGATTCCCAGCGGGGCAGCCTGGTTCTAGAACTCTCTTTCCTGAGCCGGGTCGCCTCCTACCTCCTGGTAGGGATGCGAGGAAGAGGAGCAGATGTACTCACGGGGTCGTGCGGTGACCACGCCCTTTTTGCTGGGGGTGACGCAGAAGTGTTCGGGTCAGTGCCCTGGGGACGGGGAGATCAGTAGGGCACCTGTGGAGGCATCTTCTCAGGATCTACTCCTGTGGGAAGGGAAGGAAGCAGACGGAAAAGCTGGACTCCAAGCTGGGAGCACACAGCCATCTCGGAGGGGAGGGGCTGCGCCCACGCCAGCTGGGACACTGGAGACATTAGCCCTAAATGAAATTTTATTTGTCTGCCTGTGAGTGAGTCTCAGGCACCTGTGCTGGCCTGAGGAGGAAATTTTCTTTGGCATCTGTGTATTTATTTACGGAAGGTGAAGAGGATTCCTGGTGCCCTCAGATGTTCCCAAAATCGTTTCCGGGGGGCATCAGCTTGTTCCTGCCGCTGGGCCTTGGCGGGGGCCTGTGAAATGTGATGGTAGAAAAAGGAAGCTCAGACAGAGCTCGTTTCACAGGAACTTGGCTAGATTTCCCTCAGCTCCCAGTGGGTGGGGGTTTCCCCTTTCTTTTCTGGCACGGCCTGCAACCCTGGGTTCCAGTCTATGCCAACTCGAGATGGAAACCTTGGGGGATTGGCTCATTGCCTTAAATGTATAGATGAAGAGTGTTTTACCCCCGTTCAGTCTCAGATGAGGCTCCTGTCAGGCCAGAAGTCATATGGGAGCCTAAAAAAGGAAGGGAATTGGGCCGGCCGAGTGGTGCGTTGGTTAAGAGCTGGCTTGGGACACCAGCTCTGAGCAGCAGTGCCCCGGTTCGGATCCCACATGAGGGCCAGTGATGCTGCCCTCTACAGCTAAGATGCTGAACAACAGCTCTACCTGGAGCTGGTCTGCCGTGAGTTGCTGGCAATGGCGTAGGCTGCAGCCCCTGCTGCAGTGGGCTGCAGTAAGCTACCGTGTGTGACCAGCAGCCAGCGTGAGCAGCTGGCAGCTGGTGTGAGCTGCCAAGAGCCGCTCTGAGCGGCCGTCCAGGGGCCGGTGACCGATCTGCCTCAGCCGGGAAGAGCGCAATGATCACAATACCAACATGGGCCAGTGAAGCGACGTCCTCCACAACTAGACTGAAGAACAAAAGGACAGCAACTTGTCTGTTCCCCTTCCTGGGATTCCCCAGCACTGTTCCCCCCCCCCAATTCCCCAAAAAAATTAAAAAAAAAAAAAAAAAAAAAGGAAGGGAATTATGGCACGGGCTACAACTCAGGTGGACCTTGAGGACGTTATGCAAGTGAAACAAGCCAGACACAAAAGGACAAATACTGTAGATTCCCCTTATATGAGGTGCCTACCGTAGTCAAATTCAGAGAGAGAAAGTAGAATTGTGGTTGCCAGGGGTTGGGGAAGGCGGAACGGGGAGTTAGTGTTTAGTGAGTACCAAGTTTTTGATTTGCAAGAAGAGTTCCATTTCACGATAGTGAATGTACTTAACAGTATTGAACTGTACACTTAAAAAATGGTTAAAATGATACATTTATGGTATGTATTTTTTACCACAACTTTTAAAAAGTCATGAGAGAGACAATCCTTCTAGAACTCATAGGTCCTCAGCAAGCTGGGCTTGGTCAGTGTCCTTCCAGCAGTTTTGTCATCGTTCTTTTGAGCCATGCACCTTTTTTATTCAAAGTCTCTTTGGCAGTGTCCAGAATTTTAAGCAACGGAAAGGAGAGCAGATGTTAAACTGGTGCCACGAGGCAAAGCGGAACCCAGGAGACCTCCTGTCACCAGCCTTCTGTCCCCTCCATTCTAGAAAGACCATCTGGTCTCCGCGGGGAGAGCTGGATGCTGAGGCCGTTTGCTTCTTGGTTCCTCCTGACCTCCCCAAGTAGCACACTGTCTCAGTCAGGCTGGAGGTCAGAGCAGGCAGGGGAAGGGCTGTGCCTACGTGGCTGCCTTCATGATTTCCTTTGCTTTCTTTTGTGTGCAGATTCCTTTGGCTGCCGCAATATTTTCCGTAAAACCTCAGACTCCAATTGTGTGGCTTCTTCTTCCATGGAGTTCATCCCCGTCCCACCTCCCAGGACCCCCAGAATTGTCAAGAAACCAGAGCTCCCTCAGCAGGGGCCTGGGAGCGCCAGCATCCCCTCCAAGGAAGACCCCTTGATGCTGGATATGGTCCGCTCCTTCGAGTCTGTCGACCACGACGACCAGACGGAACTGCTCTCCCCGTCCCATCACTATAGGATTCTAAACTCCCCCGGGGGCTTGGCTCGTGGGAAACCCAGTGAGCGGATGCTCTCCCCAGTCCTGCTGCCTGGAAGCCCGTCACCTCTCCAGACTCCTTTGCATCCCACTCTGGTCTCCTTTGCTCATGAAGACAAGAACTGCCCCCCAAAACAGGAGGGCGTGTGTTCCCCACCTCTGGTTCCTGGCAACGGCACCACGCGACCCCTGGGGAGCCCGAATTGTGTGACAAGCCGAGGCAGGTTCCCCATGATGGGCATCGGACAGATGCTGAGGAAGCGGCATCAGAGCCAGCAGCCCTCTGCAGACAGGCCCCTGGAGGCCAGCATGCCCCCGCTGCAGCCCCTGGCCCCTGTGAGCCTCTCCTTTGACATGGCTGATGGCGTCAAAAGCCAGTGTTAACCTGGGCCAGCAGCGGACTGTGGGTCTTCCTAAGGGAAGCAATGCAACAGCTCCACATGTCCATTGGGGTGGGAAGATTTTAAGGCCTCTTGCAGAGCATCCTTCGTGGCCTCGTGTCTTCCTGCCATGCAGTGTCCCACCTGTGGAACAGGTGAAATCCACAGACCCAAAGCCTGCACCGCCCAGTCTTGTGTAGGGACCCCTGGAGATGCTGGAATCCCCTAGGAGGGCTGTCTACGGGTGCACCAGTGTCGTTCATGTCTTCGTGCCTCCTGCCTACTCACTGGCCCTCCACCCACCTCCCTCAGGGGTGAACACCATCCGTTGGTCTCCGGGCGACTCAGATTACAGACTGGTACCAGATCTTTCTTCACTGTGTGCTCTGCGTGTGCCTCTCAGCGGATCAGTCTCTTTTCAGCCATCGGCCATCGTCACATGGCAGTGTCACAAAGCAGTTCCTCCAGACCACGGTTCCCCTTCCTCCCGTAGAGGTGAATACCTAGAGCCCGGGCCCCAGGAACCTCAGAGGAAGATAGGCAGCAGCCTCTGCCACCAATACTGCCCCCTCTGAGTGAAAAGGGACAGCTTGGCAAAGACTGATCCAAACAGTGGGGACCCCAGTGAAAGGAAAAGACCAAAGGGGGCACTCATTTCTGAACTAAGATTTTTTTTTTAATTAGGAAAATACCTTTATTATTTTTGAAATGTTCCAATATTCAATGTAAAAACCTGAAGCAAGATTTTGACAGTTTTTTTGTTGTTGTTGAAACTTGCTAATGGTTAGATTGTCTCCTCCAAAGATGATTTTTCTTTATGTGTTGTCATTAAATTGAAGTAACATAATTTTTAAAACCTGATGAGAGAGAAGAGAAGTGATTCCACCAAACTCATATTTTCACGAGAGGATGAGCATGGGCATGAAAACTCACCCAGGTGGTGTGTTTGTGGCTGGTCACCCTGGTGGCCTATGGTGACTGAAGGCCCTGGGTTTGTACCATTTGTATCACCTTAGCCCTGATCCTTCCAGAAGGCGTAGAACATAGTTTCAGTTGGTTATTTAGAAAGACAGAAAATGGTTCAGGTTGAATTTGGATGCACCTGGAAGGCATGTTATCTTTACACTGTCCATAAAACAAGCGTGATTTAGAGCTCAACTAGTTTGCTGTGACCTATGAGTGGGCTTGCCTACCAGGGATCATGTTCAAAATAACAGCACTGTGTCTTCTTTGAGGAAAGCAGGCTTCCTCAAACAGGCTTTGAGTCTGCGTTCTGTTTTCACACCTTTTGCCAAGGATCGAACCAAAGATGCATCTCCGGTTCTGTGTCCATGCCGTCCCTATGTGCGTGTTTTGTGGAACCCAGCGTTGTCTGACCGTGTCTAGTTGGAGCCTGCCAGGGGGGTGACTCCATGTGGGGCTTGGGCCCTGGCACTTGGTGGGAACCGCTCGGTCATGAGCGGAATTGGGAAAAGAAGAATAATTGGCACATGTTGGAGAGCGGTTAATTCAGGAGACAGGTGACAACATGGCGTGGAGTCCTCAACTGTTGACTAGAGCAGGTGTGACAGAAACCACCACTTTGGCCACCCCAGGGCCAGTCCTCTCAGCTCACTGAAATAGGCCACGGCCCTTGAGAACTGCAGAACCTGCTTTCGTTTCTACTGGCAGCCAGCCCATGCCAGACAGTGCAGGGTGCTTCTTCATCTTTGCTCATTGACCAGTAGTGACCTCCCTCTGCCCCATACGTCCCTGACTGAGCAAAGAAAAAGAGGATATTTGGCTGACCCCCAAAGCCACTGCAATGCCCAGTCTTGGCTGACCTTGACAACACCTGGAGTTGCTGCTTCCCCCACGATGGGATTGCCCCAGCTCTAGGGTTTTTGAGGAGGGAGTCAGACTCCTGGCTGTGGGTGTGATTTCTTTGTATGGCTGCAGACTGGATTCTGGAATGTTCCATGGAAAAGAGCTTTTTAATCAGAGAAGAGAAAAGAAGCATCTGAAAGAGACCCTTTCTCCATTTGACATGAAAATGTTTGGTTTGGGATCAGTGAAGAAACCTTCTTGGAAGATGGTTTCCAGCTGCAGGCATCCCGCCGTGCAGGTTCCCCGGCTGTGTACCTGTGCCTTGTGAACTTGTAGCCCTTGATGTCTCTTTCTTGTATTTTACTTTCCTCGAGAACGTGAGCGTTTCTGTGTCACTGTTATCTCATTGGGACTCATTGGGACATGTTTCCCGTTCCTCAAATGCTTCAAGAACAGCTGCAGACTGTCATACAAAGAACTGACCATGTTACCATTGGTAACTTGAACTACGAACTCAGGTTTATTCTGAACCCAGTGAAAGGTGAGGGGGAGTAAGGAAGGGGGGGGGTAAACTGTATTTTTTGTGTGAGCACCTGACAAATCTATGAAATCGAATGAAAGAAGAAATGTTAAATTGTTTATTATTTTATTATATTTATATGGAAAACTTGACTCTGCCTTTGGTAAGTACAAAGCGTGTTGTCTCTTTGACCCATGACTGTCTCTCATTAGTCAGCCCCTGTGTTCTCGGTCAGCCTGTAGTTACTGATGGAAATGATTGAATTGTCATCGTGTGACGTCCAGGTGGAAAAGTCAACCTTCATTGTACAATTTGGTCATAAGTAAGGACTGTATTTATGTGACCATTATTAAATGTATGTACTTTTATAATGACTGTGAAATACACTTTTCCCTCACTACGACTGCTTCATTTATTTGTGGTAAATCTTTAAACATCGAGTACATTGCAATTAGATGTACCATCATCTACATAAAGTTCATGGCCCAGCAAATGACAGGATGCGAGTGGGAATCACGTGTGGGGTGTTTGAGGGCATTTTCTGCTCCACTAGTCCTGCTTCATTTCACTTGTAACAGGTCCATCTATAGAAGTCTGTGTGACTAACATGTGGCAAATGGCAGTTCAAGATGAGTCAGCGTTTTTGGGGGGTGGGGAGGTGGTGATTCAGGATCTCCTGTGAAGACTCTGAAAATGGCACATGAAGAATGACATCTGTGAGTGTTACCTCTAGGTTTTGTCCTTGTTTTAGACCTTGGGAGGGAGGGAGAAGAGGGGTGATGATGTAGAATGGGAGGGGGGTCTACATACATTGGCTGTTTGGATTGTCCCAGTCCTGACTTCATAACTGTTCACAGAAAGCTTTTCATATATACCATCTTGCCAAAACCCTTGTGTCTCCTGTGCAGTGTGGCTCAGAGAGTGGCATGGTAGAAAGCCCGTACAAGAAGCTCTGAAGTTTAGTGGAGTGTGTGGGGTGGGCGCAAGAATAAGTATCTAGTTTTGATGATGTTTCTTTTCGTAATCAGAACATTTTAGATCAGAAAGGGGCCTGAGATCATCTGGTTCAACCCCAGCTTTTTTGAAGAAGAGAGAAGGGCCCCATATGGTTTAAGGCTCTCCATGGCCCCTGAATGAGCTAGCTCTGGGGCAGGCTCCTCTCAAAGAATACAGAGAAGTCAGAGTGTGGCTGCCATGGACGGAGGGGAAAGTCAATAGCAGGTCAAGCTGTCATCACAACAGGCATCTCTGAGGTCCCTATATGGGTAAACTCTGCATTTTAAGTCTTCCCCAAATTATGCAGCTTCAGATTCTGAGCATCACACTCTTCCCACCATCTACTATCAGCTCTTGAAGCTAAAGAGACTCTTTTCTCCTCAACAGACATCCCAAGTAAGCAGCAACACTTAGATAGCCTTGTTATCTACTCTAGCTATAAAAAGTCTATTGGGTTTTATTAGATTAAATCCATAAAACAGTTTTTAAAAATATATAGCCATGTCGTAATGTGAGACAAATTCAGAGAGAATGCAAAACTGATATTTTTTTTGGGGGGGAGGGAGGGTGTCTGGAAGCCTCTTCATTTATGTATTTGTTTTCTTTGTAGGACCCTCTGTGTGCTACAGGCACCATAATAATTCAGAGCAGTACTGGGAGCTGGTTCAATTTAATGTCATCACTTTTCAATGAAAGGAGTGTATTTCCTGAGTAGTAAATGAGTGTATTATTTGTGGCAGCTTTTTTGTCAAGGGAGCTTTTCAGACATCTGGTTCCAAAGACAAATAGAAGGGAAAAAAATATATATATATATGTATATACAGTCTCCATACTTCTTTTCTGTGGACTTGTTTTCAGAATACACACTTATCTCCAGGACCTGATGTCTGTGGCACCAAGGGACTGGGGGAGGGGGAATGGTGGGGAGCCTTTCAGCCTTTGCAATCCCCTTCCACAGGTATACCCACACCTGAGCTGGTGTGTGGATAAGGAGATTTTTGGGGGAACTAGCTCTTGGAGTGTAAAGTAGCTTGATATGGCACAAACTCAGGGATCAACTAGAGCAGCGGTTCTCAAACTGGGTTGCAACCCCTTTGGGGGTCAAACGACCCTTTCACAGGGGTCACCTAAGACCATCAGAAAACACATATTTTCTATGGTCTTAGGAACCGAGACACTGCTCCTCTATCCGTCTCCAGGCGGGTCCGCCCACATGCATACAGATATGCCCACATATGAGTACCCGGCATGATGACATCATCGCACCAACCCCATCACATACACCCCGTACAAATACAGGTGTATGTGACAGGGTTGGTGCCATAATGTACTTATGTGGACCAGTCGCACATGTGTAGAGAGCAGCTACTGTGTAGAAAGCAGCTGCTGTGTTGAAAGCAGCAGTATTAGAGGTAAAACGACACTTCATGAATTATAAATATTTCACAATATATAATTACATATTGTTTTGTGATTAATCACTATGCTTTAATTATGTTCAATTTGTAACAATGAAAATACATCCTGCATATCAGATATTTACATTACGATTCATAACAGTAGCAAAACTACAGTTATAGAGTAGCAACAAAAATAATTTTATGGTTAGGGGTCACCACAACATGAGGAACTGTATTAAGGGGTCACAGCATTAGGAAGGTTGAGACCCACTGAACTAGAGCTAAGTGATGTCAAACTAACCAATGGTACATTGCAGAGAGGACAATCCTACGGAGCTGTGTATTTCCAGGTTAAAAAAAAAATGACTTTGAGTTAAGAGTTTGAGTTAGTTATGTAATATATTTCCAGCTCAGAAGATGGCCCATAAGCTATTTTGAAAGGAAAGTCTCTGGCTGATATTTTGTAAACCCTCAGGAATAACAAAAATGTATTCTCTCTAGGCCTTGTTACCACAATCAGCTGGAGAAGGGCAGGATACAAGCCTGTGTCCAGAGCCAGGCTTCGCGTCCACAGTTAGGCAGTGAGTTTATGGCAGGGCTGAGACAAGAATGCCTTCCAGGCCTCCTTCATCAGTGCTCTCCTCTTTTCTGGTAACCAGTGTGTTAGATTATGCTTTGCTATGATAACAAATTAAACCCCAAATTGCTGTGACTTGCCCAATAAAGGTTTATTTCTTACACAAATTTTTATGTGCTTTGGACTCTAGAGCAGCTATCATCCATGTGGTGACTCAGGGATCCAGGCTGCTTCCAGCTCATGGCTCCATCCTCTCAAAATGCAGCCTCTTTGGGAAGGCGAGCTGCAGAGTTTTCCACTGGTCCCTGAGTGCTCAACGAGGGCTGAGACTAGTCCTATGGTCCTACCTATGAGCAAGAGGCTGAGAAATGTAGGGGAGCATGTGGATATTTGAGGTGCAGTTAATGTTTGCCACATGGGAGACACAGATGCCTACCATTTAAAGGTCCCCTAAAATTGGACTGGCTTTTCCCATTGTTACACAACTATGGCACCTCTTAGTGTGTGAGGATTATTTGTTCTAAATAAGCGAATAAGCATTGTTAATTATTAATATTTAATTTAAGGGGTTATTAATGCACTGAATTGTATTCCTCCAAGATTCATATTGGAGCCCTAACCCCCAATACCTCAGAATGTGGCTGTGTTTGGAGATAGGGCCTTTAAAGAGGTAAGTTAAATAAAATAAGACCACCATTAGGGTGGGCCCTAATTCAATCTGACTGATGTCCTTATAAGAAGAAGAAATTTGGACACACTGAAGAACACCAGACAGAGGAAAGACCAGGTGAAGACACAACGAGAAGGCAGCCATCTACAAGCCAAGGAAAGAGACCTCAGGAGAAACCAAACCTCCTGACACCTTGATCTTGGACACCCAGCTGCCACAATTGTGAGAAACAAATTTCTATTGTTAAAGCCACCCAGTCTGTGGTATTTGTTATGGCAGCCTAGCAGACCAACACGGAGGGAGGCCAAATAGAAATATTTACATAATCTATAAATCTTACAAATTTTGTCCCATTTGCTGAGCCCCATTTACCCCTTTCTTATAACTAAATTACTCCCAGAAAGCTGTCTTTTTTGGGAGTGAAATTCCACTTTTTCCAAGTGTCCCCTGTGTAGTAGGCCCTATGCCAGTTATTTTCAAGTATATTTCTTCATTTAAAACTTTTTCTGTAAAGGGCCAGGTAGTAAATATTTTACACTTAGCAGACTACCATGTAGCCTCTTGTATATACTTTCTTGTGTTTCCAGTTTTGTTTTTGTTTTTCATAGCCCTTTAAAAATGTGACAACCATTCTTATCTGGTGGACTGACAAAAACAGGTCTCAGCCAACACGAGCCCTCAGGCTGTAGTTTGCTAAATCCTGCTTTAATCCTCACAAGAACCCTGTGAAGTGGTCATGTTGTCTATTTTACAGGTGAGTTTGGCCCGGTTCACACAACCAGGACTTCTATAGTCAGGCACTGCAACTGTTTATTTTAGAACTCAGCCCCTGAAAGGACGATTAAGAGCTCCTTTTATGATAGGTGTGCTTTTCTTCTCTTAGAAAAAGTCCCTAGAGGATACAGTAATGAGCTGGTTAGGGTTAGTCTGGCAAAAGGATTTGCCCTCAGGGAATTTGGAGGTGGGGAGAGACTCGGGCCTTTCTCTTTGCAGCTCCCTCCTCAGAAATATGTCTGTTGGTTGATTTCCAGGGGTGGCTGCTATCCATAGGCATGGCCATGCTTTAGGAGAGCTGTCCTGGTCACGAGTCTGCCGCTGCCATTTAGCCCCCGCTCTCGGGTTCATCCCTGCCTTCATCTGCACAGAACTGGACATGGCCCTGGTCAACAAATCATTTGCCATCCAAGCTGTTTCCCATTTCTCTTTGGGAGTGGCCTCTCAAAAATGGGCTCTTGCTTGCTTATAAAAAGCGAGCGCTTACTCAAAGTCTTAGCAAACAAGTCCAAACCTAGAGCAGACGTGAGGCTGCTTGATGCCTTGTAGACGAGCCATCGCCGTTACTCACACCTGAGTGACACAGTGTCACCACAGGTTGGACACTCTCCAGAGTCCTTCCCACCATGGCTACTTCAATTACATGAGCCATTCTCACTTTCACTGCATTTGGGTCCAAATCAGAGAATCACAGGCATCTCGGGGTTCACTCAGTCCTGTGATTAGTCCCCCGGAATTTGGGGCATTTCACAAAGAGCACCAAGAAACACAGATTCTCAGGATAAGCATAAAGCAGCTTCTTGGAACAGAGTATATTACTCACTGCTAATTAAAACAACAACACATTTACTTAGAACTAAAGTGTCAGTTATGTATTCAGGTGCAAAATGAATGTGAGACTTGTGAGTACAACCCTCATTGTTTTTTCCACCTTGGGACATTGCAGGAAATAATTTTAAGAAGCAGAGATCAGCGTCAACCTT